CACGAATATATAATTAATAACCACGGGGACCTCGTCTGCGGAGTTGTAATGGTCATATTCTTGGGACTCTTATTTAAAGTATGCATATTCAAAATATATTTTTTCAGTCTACTACGTCCCTGGCCCAAACATTTATCCTAATACAGCACAATATTGACCAAAGTACGACATATTTAACTTATATCCTTAGATGGAACTACTGATCAATATCAAAATCTTATGTACCAGCCCGGCAAATATGACCTGTGCTCCGCCTTCTTTTACACACTTGTGTGCATACTGATTCACACATTAATTCAAGAATATTGTATAGATGTAAACTAGATTTTTCCTTATTCCTTAAAGAAATACAATCGTAAACTTAGTCTTACTCGGATTCGCCTTGGAAAATTCAATGAATCCAGCCAACTTGCTTGCTTCTTCTGTGCTTCAGCTTTGTGGGCTGCATATATTTTATGCACAGAAGAATTCATTACTTGTCTAAGTAGCCTCTGGGATGGTTACCCTCACCGCATTCTCCCATACTGGATTAAGGCTTTCTTTATTTTTCAAATTTGCTATTGGCTTCACAGCTATCCGGAACTCTATTTTCAGCGTGTAAAGAAGGAGGAGATACCATCTCGCTTGGTTTACATAACACTTTACCTTTTAGGAATTGTTATAGCTTACGTCACTGGGTATGTGTTTTCTGTAATTAACCCCGACAGGCTTACGAAACTTTGTTTATTACTTCTCCTTATTCAATACTCTTCGGATTTGTTCCTTCATATCGGGAAGGCTTTGTATATTGGCGGTCTTGAGCAGTTCGCTCGCATTGGGTAATCTCAAACCTATTCTTAGACTTAGCTTTGGCATTTGGAACGCACTCTTTCTACCCGCACGAGTAATATGCACTACATTGGCTGTGCTTACCTTTCAGTAAGTTTTGTTAATACTAAGTTCTAGGTATGGTCTTCAAAAATCTGCAATAGAGGATGCCTCAGAAGAGGGAAATCTTAATACCAAAACCCTTCGGTGAGTGCACCACTAATGCTATTGTCCTGCATCTGTGGTTGCATTGTTATTTAAACTTTCCATATATTAATCTGTTATCCTTGGGATTGTTCTAGGCTTGGCGGAACGCTTTTTGTTTTTTTGACTCAAGCCCTTATGGTGTGGAATTTCGTGACATTTCATCGTAGACGAATTCGAGAGAAAAGTGGCCAAAAGTGGTCCGCTGGCTCTGATATACCGCGGCGCAAGGAAAGGAAAGGTTAGTCTAGTTGTGGGTATATTCCTTTGATTTGTGTTACGCCTGTTATATTTTTCTTTAAAACAAGGTTCAACCTAATCCACTCAGTTAAAGTATCTCCATTTGATATATCCTATTTATCATGCCTTTCATACGTTCCATTACATAAATTATTGGCTTCTTAAAGATATGTTATAGTTTTGCCTTATCATCCTACATCTCTTCTCATTTAGTAAGTTCAATCTGTCTCCCTTATTTTTAGTTAAAAGAGAAGATGATGGTTTGGCAAGCAGCGATACGGATTCCCC